CCTCGAAGGCGCGCACCTCCTCGTAGTCCAGCGGGCGGACGACACAAACGTCCCCGTTCTCAGGGTTCACCGACACCGCGGGCTGCTCCTTGCCCTCCGGACGCACCAGCGCGTACCTTACGCGGCCGTTTTCTCCCGCGTCGGCGTCCGTGGCCTTCACGCTGCCGATGCGGAGCATGGGGCTGTTGTTCTCCGCCACCGCCATGGTGTAAACCTCCTGGGTGAACTCCGGCGCGTTGTCGTTCACGTCCGAGATCTGCACGAAGATGCTTTCCCGAGAGCTCAGCCGCGTCGTGCCCCAGTCCGTGGCCGTGATGCTGATGTTATACCCCGCCGTCCTCTCCCTGTCCAGCGCCGCGCTGGTTCTCAGCTCGTAGTAATTATCCAAAGCGGGGCTGAGACTGAAGGGCAAGTCCCCGTCGATGGAGCACTCCGTCCTGCCGTTGTCGCCGGAGTCCCGGTCCCGCACGCTGAACAGGGCCACCACGGTGCGAGGCGGGGCGTCCTCGGGAATGGAGGCGCTGAGGGAGGTGAGCGCTATCTCCGGGGCGTTATCATTCACGTCCAGGACTTCCACCTGCACTTTGCAGTGCGTAGACAGGCCCCCGCCGTCGCTGGCTCTCACCACCAACTTGTGATTTTTCGCCTCCTCGTAGTCCAAGTTGCCCGCGACCCGTATCTCCCCGGTGACGGGGTCCAGCTCGAAGAGCTGCCGGGCCCGCTCCGGTGTCTGGGTGAAGGCGTACCGCACTTCCCCGTACGACCCTTCGTCGGCATCCGCGGCCGCGACTCTGACCACCGGCTGCTCCCGGGGGCTGTTCTCGGCCAGCCGCACTTCGTAGACCTCCCGCCCGAAGACCGGGCTGTTGTCGTTGGCATCCAGCACCACGATCCGGACCTGGGCCGTGGCCGACCTGGGGGGCGAGCCCCCGTCGGTGGCCGTGAGGAGTAAATTCAGCTCCCGCTGCTGCTCGCGGTCCAGCTGTCGCTCCACGACCAGCTCCAAGGATTTTACTCCAGTTTTCCCAGTTCCGAGAGCGAGGGAGAAATGCGAGTTGGAGCCCAGGCTGTAGTTCTGCAAACCGTTACTGCCCACGTCCTTGTCCTGGGCGCTTT